ATCATTCTTACCATATTTATCTAACTCATATCAGTATTAAAATTTTTGTGTAATTTCCATATGTAACAAATTAATCTTTTAATGTTTTTCCCCAACCATTTAAAAATATAGAAATCATTCTTAGTTCACAGGCTGTACAAAAATAAATATAAGCTACTTCTGTCCTATAGTTGTAGTTTTCAAACTGCCTGATCTAGATGTTTATTGTATATACTTACGAACTTTGAAAATAAGATTTTTTCCTCTCTGGTTGGTAGTGATTCAAATAAAAGAGGGTCTTTTTTTTTTTTTTTTTTTCAAAAATAATGTTTAAACACAATATGATTAACTTGCAAATAATTTGTTAATATGAAAACCAAAAATCTGTTAAATGGAAAAATCTTCACATTATTGGAAACAGAATTAAAAATTTAACATGATTTTATGCAAGGAAAGATGTACTTCTTACATTGGAACAGTATATCTGTAAGTTATCAGCAATAATATATCTAATTTTTAAAAAGAAACTTAGAACAGAGCTTCATCTGAATCAAACTGGTAAGGCAAGATTTTTTAAAAATAAAGTACCATATGCAATCACATTCCTCTCAATATATGTAAGATGTATATGTTTGTGTGTAAATGATTCAGTGAGAATGCAAAATGTTTTTCCTATTATAAAAAACTATAGGCTTTGGCTCACCTTTCAAAACATGTTTTACAATGTATATAATACGTATGTATTATCTACGTTGTACATGTATATAACTTATAAATAAGAATATATGCTCCCAAACAGTTCCTAGCACATAACAAATCCTCAATAAATACAGGTATCTTCATCATAATTGAAAAAAACATGCTCGGATTTTTCTTTTGCAGATCAGGTACAGGAACAAAAAGTCCCCAGCATCTACCGGTCTGGACAAGAACTGACGGTAGCTGCTGTATTATGTCCTGAGGGGGCACCACAAGGCCTTTGCAATAATCTGAATGTAGGACTAAACAGAAAGAGGCCTCAATGCCACCTCCCTCATCGTAGCTGGAAACAAATGGGGACGCTGTTTACTTTTTCACTATACGTCAGTCATGAATCTGAGCACTGCTCACGATCCTTTGCCTCTTTTTCTGCACAGATAAAATGATGATAATCTGCTCTATAGGCCTCACAGCACTGCTGAGAAACAACCAGGCATTTAGTGGATACTTTTACTAAAAACTCAATGCTAAAACATAAACATTTTAAGACTACTCATTTTTTTTTTCATTTTAAATGTAAAGATTCTCGCAAATGAACTGATATTTTTTAAAAGCCTTATTTTTATTTATTTGAAAGGCAGAGTTACAGAGAGAGGTAGAGAGAGGTAGAGAGAGAGACAGAGAGACAGAGAGACAGAGAGAGACATCTTCCATTTGCTGGTTCATTCCTTAAATGCCTGAAACCACTAGGGCCAGGCCGGAGCCAGGAGCTTCCTCCAGGTCTCCCACGTGGGTGCAAGGGCCCAAGCATTCGGTCCATCCTCTGCTGCCTTCCCAGGTGCATCAGCAGGGACCTGGATCAGAAGTGGAGCAGCCAAGTCTCAAACCAGCACCCATATGGGATGCCAGTGCTGCAGGCCGGGGCTTTAACCCACTGTACCACAGCACCAGACCCCTGAACTGATTTTATATTATCTCAAAATTGGAGATATTAAGAGAACAGTATGTCACTTCTGAGTTTAAGTATTTGATACTTCAAGGAGTCAACTTTGCTACATATAAAGTATGATTATTTTCAAGATTATTCATCATACCTAATAAGCTACTAATTTAAATTTACATGTTAAGTTTGCCAAACATAAGCAAATTAAGTTTATTCAAAATAAGTTTTAATTCTTAAAACACTACATACATAGAATTCAGGCAAAAAATTTTTTCCTAAGACAAGAGTAAACAGATCACAAAGGCACAATTAAGACCACAGGAAAGCTTCCAGACTTCTTTTTCACATTCCTATTTACGGTTTGAAGACAACTTTCTTCATAACTGAAGTCATTCACAGGGTCAAGGCTGCTAATCACTGTTGGCTAGGGAGAGGTTAGAGATCCCAAAACTATTTTTTTATTTTGTTTAACTGCATAAACAAGCATTCCTAACCCTCACATCTATTGCAAAGAGGGAGAAGTTTCCTTCTGTTTGTTCTCCTACCTATCCAACAGAATATACACATGAGTGAGTACAGATGGGTGGAACCAGGCAGCACTAAAATTAAATCCAAGCAGGCAGAAAATAAAAATTAACATAAATAGCTTATTTTTGCTTTCTTAATCACTACCTGTTTATAAAATGGTCTCGTAGCTAGGCAATACCAGGAAAAAGCCTTGTTTCTGTAAACACTTCTCGATCCAAAAGTGTAACAAGTCACACGACTCCTGTTCTAGATCTTTCACTTCCCAGTCTCCACATCTTTACACTTTCTCTCATCTCTGATAACTAGCTAGCTAAATAATTAGTTTTAAAACACTCATTAGAAAAAATGACCCAGCCGGCGCCGCGGCTCACTAGGCTAATCCTCTGCCTTGCAACGCCGGCACCCCAGGTTCTAGTCCCGGTCGGGGCGCCGGATTCTGTCCCGGTTGCCCCTCTTCCAGGTCAGCTCTCTGCTGTGGCCAGGGAGTGTAGTGGAGGATGGCCCAAGTACTTGGGCCCTGCACCCCATGGGAGACCAGGAGAAGTACCTGGCTCCTGGCATCGGATCAGTGCGGTGCGCCAGCCGCGGCGTCCATTGGAGGGTGAACCAACGGCAAAGGAAGACCTTTCTCTCTGTCTACTCTGTCAAAAAAAAAAAAAAAAAAAAAAAAAAAAGAAAGAAAGAAAAAAAATGACCCAAAAATAACAGAAGGAAAGGGGTATGAAACAGATGGGGTCACAAAAAACCTTACATATCAAAAGATATTCACTGGGGCCAGCGCTGTGGGTTAACAGGTAAAGCCGCCTGCAGTGTCAGCATCCCATAATGAGCAACAGTTTGAGTCCTGGCTGCTCCACTTCCAATCCAGCTCTCTGCTATGGCCTGGGAAAGCAGAAGATGGCCCAAGTCCTTGCGCCCCTGGTCCCGCATGGGAGACCTGGAAGAAGCTCCTGGCTCCTGGCTTCGGATCGGCACAGCTCCAGCCGTTGCGGCCATCTGACCTCTCTGCCTCTCTGTAACTCTGCCTTTCAGATAAATAAATAAATTCTTAAAAAACCACACACACAAAGTATTTCAAAAAGTTTGTGGGAAAATGGAGTTAAAAATAAGCCTATTTTTGAAATAAATGAATATATTCACTGCAAGTTACTGATATGACAAAAACTGTGGGATATACAGTTGATAAAGACTATCATTACAACTAGTGACTATATAGTAACATAAAAAAATGTGTTATTTGAAAAAAATACAAAATATACTAGGATCACTCTATGCAAAGAAATGCGCGTATCTCTAAATTTGAAAATGATGCTGAATAAACAACAAAAGATGATGGAATTTTTCCCCTAAGGTTTTTTATTGAAGTTTTAATAAAGTGTTAAGGCAAAAATTATTGCTAAGTGACAATGGCATTAGCCACTCCGCAATATATCCATGCCTTTTTTTTTTTTTTTTTTAAAGATTTGTTTACTTGAAAGCCAGAGCTACAGAGAGAGAGAGTAGGAGAGGCAGAGAGTGGTCTTCCATCTGCTGGTTCACCCCTCAATTGGCCTCAACAGCTGGAGCTGCACCGATCCAAAGTCAGGAGCCAGGAGCTTCCTCCGGGTCTCCTACATGGGTGCAGGGGCCCAAGGACTTGGGCCATCTTCCACTGCTTTCCCAGGCCATAGCAGAGAGCTGGATGGGAAGTGGAGCAGCCATGACTTGAACCGGTGCCCACATGAGATGTTGGCACTGCAGGTGGCAGCTTTACCCACTATGCCACAGCGCCAGCCCCTACATCACTGTTTTTGGTAAGGAAAATCTAAGGACTCAAAGTCTCAACACCCAGGGAGACCCTTCATGGCAAAGGTTCTCAGCCACAGCAATCCCATCCTCTCACCACCCCGGAGATAGGTCTAAGTCAGCAGAGATCAGGCGGTGTGACTGGCACCTTCCAGGCAAAGTCTGGTGGGATGTTAACTATGTGTCAACTTGACGCGATCATAGGGTGCCCAATATTCAGTGAAACACTATACTGGGTGTTTCTGTACAATTGTTTTTGGGTGAAAATAACATTTAAATCAGTGCAGTGAGCAAAACAGACTGTCCTCTACAGTGACAGGGCTTCCCCCAGTCACTCGAAGGCCTAAACATAACAGAAAGGTGGACCCTCTGAACGCAGGAAAATTCTTCCCCTTCGGGCTGGAACTCAAACACTGACTCCTCCTGGCACTTGGGCTCTCAGCCCCTCTGTGTCTCTAGCTTGCCGACTTGCCCTGAGGCTCCCAGGCTTACCAGTTGCCAGGATCAGGTAAACCAATTCTTTGTGAATGAGTGCCTCTCTGGCTCACTCAGCCTGCTCTCTCGCTCGCTCGCTCGCTCTCTGTGTGTGTGTGTGTGTGTGTGAGATACTACTGCTTGTTTCTCAAAAGAACCCTAACACACCAAGGATGCTAGAAGTCCTGCAGTATGCACTCGGTGCCAGGCTGGAGGGCAGTGGTACTTGCTCTAACACCGCTGACGTCACCTCCAGATGTGAGATGCCTAACTCAGAGCTTGCCATCGTTGTTGTGAACTCCCATACTGGCCCATAAACACCTAGTAAAATAGATACAGAACTAACATTGACCTCCTTGCTTTCTACATATACATTTTTAAACAACCTGATACTGGCAGACCAGAGGGTTTTTCTTTTCACACCAATTTAAGCTGCAGACTCGGCATTCACTAGAGATTTTGTTTTTTCTTTAGAGAACTTACAAATATGCATGAAGCTAAGTATATCCTTTTCAAGATTCCCTGAAACAATAATGCTATCAATATATAAAAATCAAGATGCTGCTGTTGGCCAAGATGTAGACAGACCAACCTCAAACAGACTAGCTGTGAGTTCTTCCAATTCCTGTCCAAGTTGGTCTCGCACTTTTGAAAGCCTCTCACATTCTTCATCTTTTAACTTCAGTTCCTATGAAAAATTGATAATTTTATTTTGGATCTCCACAGTTTGAAGTTAGATTCAGCACACTATATGATCTTTTACTAATAAAATTACAAAATATTAACACTGTCTCCTCCTACGTGGTTCACATTGGAAATGTTTATCTAGTACGTGCTATTATAGAAGATAATCAGGCAGGCCTAAAAACACAAATAATCCGAACTAACATTAAATTTTCACATATGATTCAAAAGACATCCAAAGATTAAATATAAATGTATAGGTAAAAATAAATTACAAAATGACTTTATTCACTTATTTTTCCCTTAACTGTTCTGTGAACATTCACTTACTTCCATCACACAAGGAATTTCTGCAAGTGTGCTTACTAATTTCAACGAAACTCAGTGGGTTTTTTTTGCATGTTGACTTTAAAAATTGTTATAGGTATCTTCAACTACCATACTACAATTAACCTAAAATTTCCCCTAGGATACTATACTTTAACACTGCAACCACAGGTAAATGATGCCCCTTTAGCATTTAAAATCAAGAACAAAGTTAATGACAAAGAAATCACATTCCACATTTACATATGACTCCTTAACAGGGCATAAATAGATGTTCAAAAATTATTTTAAGATGTTAATAATGTTCAATCTTATAAGCTAACACAGCCCTTAATTAACCTTTCAAACACAGATATTAAAAAAAAATCCAAGTTCCCTTGTAGCAACAACAATTACACTACCAAAATGAGCTAATCACGTTGAGATTGTGGTGGCAGCATAGTTTTTTTTTTTCAAGATTTTTATTTAATGAATACAAATTTCGTATGCACAGCTTTTGGGAATATAGTGTTTCTTCTCCCCATTCCCGCGCTCCCATCCCCACTCCCTCTCCCATCTTTAAAAAGAAAAACTGAAAAGAAGAGAATCTGTGCAAGTCTCAGAATAGGAGAGGCTGTGGCTAAGCTGCCCACCCCACAGCGCCAGCTGTGCACAGAGAAACTGCAGGAAGTGAAAGGCAACTCAGGAAGCCCAGGATTACTAACAAATAATCCAGGAGGAGAGGTCACTATCCTTGGAGGACAATGGGAGGCAAATGGAGAAAAGGGGCGGGGTCTCCACAGGTCAAGTGGCCGGTGAAGGTAGAACTCCGTGAACTCCCTGTGCGAGCTGCAGCAGGGCCGTGGAGCTGTCAGCTCTCACACAGCTCTGGAGTAGTCAGTGAAAAGCCCCTTTCCAAAGGAGAGCGTCTCACCCTAACGGAAAAACTCCTGGGACCTAAAACCAAACTGCAGGGCAGGAACAATGGAGATAGAGCGAAAGAGCAGACACACAGAAAGGGGAAGGGGGCGTCAAGACTCCAGAGGAAACAGGTCACAGAGCACTAGAGCTCTGAAAGCAAGGCTCACTTCTGAGAGGGAGAGAGTGGTCACACTGATGCACCAAGAACAGAGGGGAAGTCCTTCCCACGTGAACAGAACAACTGCCACCTGGCTTACCCTGCTCCCTCACAGGAACCGCTCCCCAACTGACCTGGGAAATCAACTCATTTAAACATGAGACACAGACACAAATACATATAGTAAAAAAGTTAAACACAGAACACATCACCTATAGGGAGAAGAATCAGATGGGTATTAAACTTCAACAGCTATGGTTTATGCTAGAAAACAACAGCCATGTTTTGCGGTAGAAAACAAGATACTCAAAGGAAAAAAAAAATTGAGCTGAGTATTTTATATCCAAAGCATTCTTCAAATATAAGGTGATAATGAGCTCTAAGCCTGTAAGACCTTAGAAAATATCTACCCTATGGGGCCAGCGCTGTGGCATAGCAAGTAGAGCCACCACCTGCAGTGTTGACATCCGAGATGGGCGCCAGTTCCAGTCCCGGCTGCTCTACCTCCGATCCAGCTCTCTGCTATGGCCTGGGAAAGCAGAAGATGGCCCAAGTTCATTCGTTCGTTCAGATTCATGCTCTCTCTCTCTGTGTGTGTGTGTAACTCTAACTTTCAAATAAATAAATCTTAAAAAAAAAAAAAAAAAAGGAACTATCTACCCCATGAGAATGCCTGAGTAATGGAATACAGAGTAAGTCTCAGACAACTAAAAAGCAAAAACACTGAAGATGGTTTAACATCACAGATGAGAAGTGAGGAGGAAATATATCTAACTGTAGAACTACAATTAAAAGATGGTAATAATGTCAAAGAGCATGCAAAGTCTGAACACAGTCTGGGAGGAAATATTTGAAAAATGACATATCTGATCAACGTTACCTAAAACAAAGAACTCTGAAACTCAACAGTAAGAAAAGAACAATCCAATTTAAAAACAGGCCAAAGATCAAAACAGACACTCCATCAGAGAAGATAACTGGAAGACAAGCATATTAAAAGATTCTCAACATCATACTAAAGCAACGAGGTGCCACTACACCTAAAAATGGCCAAAATCCAGGACACTGATAATACCAAATGCTGGCAAAGATGTGCAACAACAGAGCTCTCATCTTCACAGCTGATGGGTCAGTAGTTTATTTTTTTTAATATTTTATTTATTTATTTTGAGAGGTAGAGTTATGGACAATGAGAGGGAAAGTCAGAGAGAAAAAGAATGCCTGAATAATGGAATACAGAATAAGTCTCAGATAACAAAAAAGCAAAAACACTGAAAATGGTTTAACATTAATATCTGGTTCACTACCCAGATCACGACAGCAGCAGGAGCTGAGCCAATCCGAAGCCAGGAGCTTCTTCTGGGTCTCCAGCACAGATGCAGGGACCCAAGCACTTGGGCCATCCTCTACTGCTTTCCCGGGCCACAGCAGAGAGCTGGATAAGAAGAGGAGCAGCCAGGACTCAAACTGGCGCCACAGGCAGAGGCTTAACCTACTATGCCCACTGCACTGGCCCATCAGTAGTTTCTTTCACCCAGCAATCACACTCTTTGATATTTACCAAGTTGAACTATCCTAACAAAAACCTGCACAAGGACATTTACAGCAGCACAATCATTCATAACTACCAAAAATTGGAGCCAAATAAGATGTCTTTCAATATGTAAACAAATAAGCCACTATGGCACAGACAACAGAACATCAGTCAGCACTAAGAAGAAATGAGCTACCGTCATGAAAAGACATGAAGGAGTCCTAAATACCTACTACCAGGTAACACTGCCTTTCGGATAAATGTCCCCTGCCTGTAGGTGAGACCTAATTTCTTAGCCTGAGATCCAAGGCTTTTCACCTAACTTCCTGGCATTGTCTTCTTGTGGCATCCACCACTACACCTAGATTAAAAATTATATTGTACAGGACTGACAGATTAGATACTGCAGAGGAAAAGAGTAGAAACACAGAGGACACCGCAGTAGAAACTTTCGATGAAACATGGAGAAAAAAGGATTTTAAAAAAGTAGTAAACACCTATGAGCAGTGGGACAATTTTAAGCAGTCTTACACTTGGCGTACAGAAGAAGGAGAGAGAGGGGCCAGCACTGCTGTGTAGCAGGTAAAGCCACCACTTGCAATGCTGGCATCCCATATGGGCACCAGTTCCAGTCCTGGCTGCTCCACTTCCGATCCAGCTCTCTGCTATGGTCTGGGAAAGCAGTAAAATAGGGCCCAAGCTCTTGGACCCCTGCACCCACATAGGAGACCAGGAGAAAGCTCCTGGCTCCTGGCTCCGGATCAGGCCGCTTCCAGCCATTGCAGCCATCTGGGAAGAGTGAACCAATGATGGAAAGTCAGTCTCTCTCTGTCTCTCTGCCTCTGCCTCTCTGGAACTCTGCCTTTCAAATAAATAAGTCTTTAAAAAAAAAAAAAAAAAGGATAGATATGGGGCAGGAATGTAAATCTCTTGGAAAAAATGACAAAAATTTCCCAAATTTTATGAAAATTCACAACCTATAGACTTAAGCTCAACAAATCCCAAGGACAAGAAACCAAGATAAATCATAATCAATTGCTCAAGCCAATGGCAAGCAGACAGACAGAAAAGACATCACACAGACAGGCACAAAGGAAGTGAGCAGACTTCCTCCGAGAAACAATGCCACTGTAGCAACATCTTTACAGCACCAAGAGAAAAAAAAAACTAAAAAAGTATCAACCTAAAATTCTCTACCCATTGGAAATATTTCTAAAAATGAAAAAGTAAAAGTAGATCTTTCCTGGTATACAGAAGTTAAAATGATTGATCACCATCAAACATAAATGTTAAAGGATGTTTAATATAAACATGTTTAATATAAAGATGTTTAATATAAATGTTAACATTAATGTTAAAGGATGCCCTTCAAGCAGGAGGACAATAATACCAGCCGGAAATCTGGATCCACAGAAGGGAAGAGTAATACTGGGAATAGTAGTGACCGTGGGCAATTAGGTAAGAAATATAGATTTTTTTTTTTTTTTTTTTTGACAGGCAGAGTTAGAGAGAGAGACAGAGAGAATGGTCTTCCTTTTTCTTTGGTTCATCCCCCAAATGGTTGCCACAGCCAGCGCGCTGCGCCGATCCCAAGCCAGGAGCCAGGTGCTTCCTCATGGTCTCCCATGAGGGTGCAGGGCCCAAGCACTTGGGCCATCCTCCACTGCCCTCCCGGGCCACAGCAGAGAGACGGACTAGAAGAGGAGCAACCGGGACAGAATCCAGCGCCCCGACCGGGACTAGAACAGGGGGTGCCGGCGCCGCAGGTGGAGGATTAGCCAAGTGAGCCACGGCGCCGGCCTACATTCTTTCTGATTATTTAAATCCCTTTAAGAGATCACCAATTATTTAATGAAAAAATAATAACAAGGTACTGTGAAGTTTAAAATGCAGAATTAAAACATGCTAATCATTACAAAAAAGCTGAGAGGGGGAACAGAAATATACTTTTGTAGGATTCTTACACCACTGTATATGAACTAGTATAGTTATTAGACACTAGACAATAAGTTAAAAACAGACACTATGAATCCTAAAGCTATCACTAATAAGCCAAATGATATGGGTAAATCATAAAAAATAAGTAGTTTATTGAAAAGACAGCATAAAATGGGGAAAAAGGAACAGATGAGAAAAACAAGAAACAATAAGGGGGTAGATAACTAAACCCTAACAATAGCTCATTAAATGTAAATGGCCTAACCACACCAATTAAAAGGCAGAGATTATTAGCACAACTACAGATTGTATACAGTTCATTTTAAATAGGAAGAAACAAATAAAATAAAAATGATATAAAAATAACAATTACCTGATCTCTCTTAAAAGAATAATCACCACACAGAAAAAAGCTGTTGACATGGTTTAGATTAACAAACTGCCATAATTCAGGACATTTTCTAATACTCAAGAATCTTTTTCAATCCGTGAGCTCTAAGTAAATATTAATACTATCTTGCACTCTTCATTATAAAATTCCCCACATGTTCACACATCATTAACATTTGAATTACCTCAATAGTACCTCTAAACAGTACCTCTAAATTAAAGATTTCAAAAGGAATCCTAAACTAAGAGATTAGCCATCTTTCTGATCAGTAAGTAACCACAGTATATTCTCAAAAATGGATATATATGCTCAATAGTTAACCTCCATATAATATGGGATTTTATTAAAATACTGTATATTCAGACAAGAGACTGAGCCAAATGCTAAGAGGTAAAATACAAACATATCTCACTACATTCCCTTTCTTTGAGAGAAAATTTAAAAGAATATAAATTTTTCTTCCTGATAAAATGTATTTTGACAAAAAAACGTTAATATGTCTGCATGGCTCCTTATCTATTATACATTCATTGAACCATTTATAGAGACATACTATATTAAACTAGGCACTAGTGATTTAAAAAAATAAATATGCTATGCTCTTAAGAGACATAGGTAGGGACAGAATAGGAGTGGATATCTGCAAAATGACAGAATGCTGGAAATTATACCTAGATTGTTTGCCCTATCTTCTAAATTTTCTGAATGCAAATATTTTATTTTACCTACATTGTCAATCTTATGTTTATACATCACTGCTATTATTCCTTTATTGTACTTTTGAGGTCAGTAGTAACATCTCATTTCATTTCTGCTATTGATAATCTAGGTTTTCTGTTTTTCTTTATCAGTCTTGCCACAGGCTTGACAATTTCTACTGATCTTTTACAAGAACCAGCATTTTATTTAATTTTCTTTACTTTTTCTGCTGTCAATTTCACTAATTTCTGCTGTTCTTTTCTTCTTTATTAGTTTCTTAGGGTAGAAGCCAAAATTTGTTCAATTGAGACTTTTTGTGCTTCCTCTTTTTATGCTATGAATTTCCCCCTGAAACTTAATTAGTGTCAGAGAAAAAGAAAAAGATATGGCCAGAAACTTGGAAGTAAGCAGCAGAAATCTTAAAGACGACCAAATGGGGAACAAAACACTTTATCAAGAAAAGAAAAGCCTCCAAGCAAGATACAGAAAATATTCAAATCCAACTGTAAAACAAAAATTACATCATTAAAACAATTCTTAAAAAAAAAAAACAGAATGCTTTAGAATGAATGACTTCAACTAAATGACTATGCAGTCAGCCACTGCCAGAGGAATGTAACCCACAAACCGTACTACAGAAAATGCCAGACAGGGCACAGTTTCAGAATCTCCATTCTCTAGTTGGTACTCCTAACTGAGCCTTACCACTCAGCCCATTGCACCAACTCCTGAATGCTCCCCAGCAGGAACTGAGCCTGGGCACATATGAAGGGTGTGTAGAACTGCAGTGATTTTTAGTTGATCCCATGGAAGTAATTTCTATGACAATATATGGAAGAATAAAATAAATTTTTTTCTTACCCTCTGAGCTTTTGCGAGTTCTTCTTTTAATCTTTCGTAGCCCTTTTCTCTAACTTCCAAAACAGATGGGCTTCGTAAACGGGACAGACTGTCGATACTCAACCCAAAAATATCATCACTGCCCTCGCAAGCCTCTGTTAGAGTGGCACCCTGTAAAAACTCCCTCTCTGCATTACAGTTGTCCTTCCTCGTGGCTGACTTAGCTAACCCAGCTGTGACTCCAGAGGTAGAACAAGGTGCTGGGTCTGTAACATGAATGCTGTAAAAAAAGAGAAACATTTTTCAGATAACATCAGGACATGCTCAAAAGAACTGGCATAAACACACAGCTGCAGAACTGCACTATTTAATTGGGTAGCCTCTATTTTTAATATCATGTCCCCTGCCACACAGCTACATTTCAAGGGCTCAAAAGCCACACGGGGTTAATGGCTATCATTCGTATTAGCACAGAAACAGAACATTCTCATCATCACAGAAGTTCTACTGATGGTACCACTTGATCACAGGAGTCAGCATGCTATGGCCTGCAGGCTAATTCAAGCCTGCCACCTGTGTTCTTAAGTTCTGAGAGCAAAGAAAAGTTTTTACATTTCAAATGGTTGAAAGGAAATCAAAAGAAATATTTTGTGGCATGTGAAAATGGCATGAAATTCAAAGTTCTCAGTACGTAAGTTTTATTGGAGCACATACTCATTCATTTACAGACTGTCTATGACTAGTTTCACATCCTAAAATATTTACCATCAGGCCCTTTACCTAAGAAGTGTGCAAACCCCTGCTCTAGAACACTAACACGTATCACTCAGCATAGCAAGTTTCTATTACTCAAATTATCTAAACCTTAGAGTAACCAAGCAAACTGTTTATTTTTACACAACAATAATCCAGAATAAGTGTTTTGATGACCGCCTACCTGATACCAGATATTTCCGCACAACTTAAACGTCTGGGAGATGAATACACAGGCTGTGTAGGGAGGTCAGAAGCATCCAACGCATTAGCCTGGATAGGGGCAGAGCATAGAGCTGCAGGGTGCGGCCGATAGATGACACCTGGTGAGGTAGTCTGCTCTTGGCTTCCCGATTCATACACACCAAGAAGGTCCGGGGAAGTAGGTGAAGCAAGGTTTACTTCATGGAAGCCTTCCAAGGGGTCATCAGCCATAGCAAAAGCCTCATCGTAAGATAACCTGTGTTAAAACAAGAGGCAGACAGTTATTTCTAGATAGTCACCTTTAAAACTAAAGCAAAAAGTCTAAGTTATAAAATGTGTTTAACAGTCCATTATAAAGTATGAGCTTACAATAAAAGACATAAAAAAAGTACAACCACTTAATATTTACTAAGTGATCACAGAGGACAGATGCTATGAAAGCAAACAACTGATCTGGAAAGGACTTGAGAGTGATAACTAACGCTGTTGAAGTGAGTATAACAAATAAGTATGTGGCAGGAATAAGAATTTGTACGACATTTTTAACACTGCTATCACGTGTGACCTTGGGCACACAGAACAAGACAGATCCAGGGTTAGCTGTTCTGCTGCATGCCTTGGGATGAGTTGGTGTCTTATTTTCTATTTTGAAATAATTTCATATTTACCTAAGAACTACACAGTTCCTGTGCACCTTTCCCCCAAACTATGAAATTGTTAACATTTGTGAGTCACTCAAGAATAAGTTCAGACACATGCCCATAAACTCTTAGTATTTCAGTAGACACATACTATATCCTAAGTAAAATTCCATTCTGCTATCAACAACATTACCAAAATCAAAGTTTAGACATGAAACAAAATTACCATCTAATCAACACATCCCATTCAAATTCTACTGATTGGTCCAATAATGTTCTTTATGGGCCCAAGATCTAATTCTAAATAATGTATTTCATTTCTCTAAACCTTAAATTTCTCTTCTGATGGGGAAAAAATGGGAATATTCCCTCCACATGTAGTATGCTTCAAAGATTAAAGCCTACAGACTGTATAATGTACTAAGTACCTGGCAAACAGTATGACCTTAATAAGAATCTGTTATCACAATTGGTCAGTAATAACATATATTGCTTCAGTTTTTCCATAAGCAAAAAGTATTTCATCTATTACTACTCAGTTACATCACACGAAAAGTCCACGTGAAAACAAAAGTATACCACTCAAGGTTTTAATCTGATAAATCTAAAGCTAAAAGAAACCTTATAAATCTTTTATGGATTTCCCATTGTCTGCAGAATAAAATCCAAATGTATTAGCCTGAAAAAGTCTTCTATGATCTGATCCCAATCTTTCCTTCCCATTTTTTTCCTTTCTACAATAGTACTTTGATAACCATGAATGATACATTCCTATGACTTCAAAATCTTCAAACACAAGCACCAATGCAGCATGTAATTCCTTCCGTAAAATATACAAAATTCATTGATTTGGATAAATTTAGCTCTTTCATAGCCTTAATTTTTGGAAGTGTTAAAAAAGAAGTAAAGTGTGGGGAGCAACTCGGACTAGACTAAGTTACTGGAATTAAGACTTATTCTATGCATCTGCTGTCCCACAATATGGCGCTGGGAGAGGAGCAAACAGTTTCTACACAGCTGCCTCCAGTTCAACCAATAAACAGCAGGACCTGCTCCTGATTGGAGGAGAGCAGCATACTCGGCGTGTGGGTAGCAGAGTTGGGATTGGTGGAAGAGGACTATAAAGGAGGAGAGAGACAACATGCACGAGGAACATCTAAGGGGAACATCTATCTGAAGGAACACCTGTGCAGCCCCCGAGAGAGCTGGCCGGCGGTGTGCCACTCTCCTGCGGAAGTGGGGAAAGTGGCTGGGGGAACCGCCCTTCCACGGAGGTGGAAGGGACGGTAGCCAACCTGGGAAGAACCAGCAGCAAACCCGGGAAGGGCCGAGCAGACAAAAGAACAGCGCAGGGTCCTGTGTCGTTCCTCCACGAAGACGGGGAGCGACATAATGGTGCCGTGACTCGGATAGGAAACTTAGGAGGGAAGAAACGGGAAGAAGTGGAAAAATACCGGAGAGAGAGACTAGCAAAGAGCCTAGGGAAAAGCCGGACGGAAAAGGTGCCGGAAGAAGCTATTGAAAGCCTAGGCATAGACTCGGATACGGACTGTGGGAAAGAAGTTAGGATTTAAAGTGAAAGCAAGAAGAAACTTAGACTCAGATACGGACTGCAGGTTGAAAGCGAAAGTGAAACCTAGAAGGAACACCACGGACTGTGGGGAGAAGCCAGGAGAAATGAGGGAGGAATATTGTTGGAAGAAAAGTTAGGAAACATACCGGGTAAAGAAAAATATGTTAGGGAGGATGAAGCCGCGAGTGCAGGCCGAGGCGGAGACGTAAGCTATCTTGGAATTCTTCAAGTCAGCCCGGGGAGCAAAAGGCGAAAATCTGGAACCAGAGGCAGAGACGTGGGCCGCCAGGTTGGAATTCGCCAGGTTAGCCCGGGGAACTTGGACTGAATGCCGGTGGTGGCGGAAACGTGAGCTGGGCTGTGTGACTCGCGGAAGCCGCGGCGCGCAGAGCGCGCGCGTGGGGCACAAGTGGGGAGAGCGCACGGGGCGTGAGTAGGAAACGTGGGGCTAGCGCGAGGCCGTGGTGCGGGCGCGAAGGGGCGCGGAGACCGCGGAGTGCGCGCGAAGCCGGGAAGCCGCACAGATGAGAGCAGCGCGGGCTGAAGCGGCTCAGAGCCGGGAAGCCGCCGAGAAGCAGCCTCGGGGCGGGCGCCGGGAAGCCGCAGAAATAAGAGAAACAGACATTTAGAAGTAAAATGAGAGAAATAGGAATGCTGGCAGATAGAAGTAAAATGGGAGAGATAGGAATGCCCAGAGATAGAGAAATAGAGAAAAATAAGGCCTCCCCTCAACATGGCAATGAGAGAGCTTGGATTCGGTCTGCCTGATTAGGGAGGTGGTGAGCACCTGCGGGCGGCTAGCAGCTTATGCGCCGCAGGTCACCGAAGACAGGCACGAATTAACATCAATAAGTCTCCCCACAATACCGCAATGAGAAGGCTTGGATTCGGTTTGCCTGATTTTTTTTTTTTTTTTTTTTTTTTTGACAGGCAGAGTGGACAGTGAGAGAGAGAGACAGAGAGAAAGGTCTTCCTTTTGCCGTTGGTTCACCCTCCAATGGCCGCCGCGGCCGGCGCGCTGCGGCCGGCGCACCGCGCTGATCCGATGGCAGGAGCCAGGAGCCAGGTGCTTTTCCTGGTCTCCCATGGGGTGCAGGGCCCAAGCACCTGGGCCATCCTCCACTGCACTCCCGGGCCACAGCAGAGGGCTGGCCTGGAAGAGGGGCAACCGGGACAGAATCCGGCGCCCCGACCGGGACTAGAACCCGGTGTGCCGGCGCCGCTAGGCGGAGGATTAGCCTAGTGAGCCGCGGCGCCGGCCCTCGGTTTGCCTGATTGATAGGGCTTGTAAGCACCTGCAGGCAGTTCTAGCAGAGCAGAGCATGCGCTGCAGGGCACCGAACACAGGCACGCATCAGCGCCTAAAAACCTCCTCACAACATGGCGAAGAGAGGACCCGGATTCGGTTTGCCTGACTGATAGGGCTTGTAAGCACCTGTGGGCAACTCTAGCAAGCAGAGCAGAGTGTGTGCCGCGGGGCACTGAAGACAGGCACGTATCAACGCCAAAAATAAAAAGAAAGGGGGATCTGTGGGGAGCAACTCGGACTAGACTAAGTTACTGGAATTAAGACTTATTCTATGCATCTGCTCTCCCACAATATGGCGCTGGGAGAGGAGCAAACAGCTTCTACACAGCTGCCTCCAGTTCAACCAATAAACAGCAGGACCTGCTCCTGATTGGAGGAGAGCAGCATACTCGGCGTGTGGGTAGCAGAGTTGGGATTGGTGGAAGAGGACTATAAAGGAGGAGAGAGACAACATGCACGAGGAACATCTAAGGGGAACATCTATCTGAAGGAACACCTGTGCAGCCCCCGAGAGAGCTGGCCGGCGGTGTGCCACTCTCCTGCGGAAGTGGGGAAAGTGGCTAGGGGGAACCGCCCTTCCACGGAGGTGGAAGGGACGGTAGCCAACCCGGGAAGAACCAGCAGCAAACCCGGGGAGGGCCGAGCAGACAAAAGAACAGCGCAGGGTCCTGTGTCGTTCCTCCACGAAGACGGGGAGCGACATAATGGTGCCGTGACTCGGATATGAAGCCTAGGCAGGGTCTAGTGTCGTTCCTCCACGAAGAGGGGGAGCGACAGTAAAGAACAAATAACAATAGTCAATCTGGGAAAGAAAAGAAGAGTTGATTCAGTATTTACCTATTCTCTCAAAATTACAGGTAACACAGACCTTCCAAAACACATAGAATCAATCAAAACTGTAACAAATCTACAAACACCAAACTTCCTATCAGTAAACTACTCACTAATAGCAAAGAGAAATTTCAGGTCTCAAAATGTTAACTAATCCTTATTCTTCACACAAACTATTCAGTGACCAAGTGAAAGATCGATTACCAGGGATTTAAAGTATTTAATATACTATCATAACTTATTACTTTTCATATAAGATAAATGTCACTCTTTATTCATAATTCAAATATACATCAAGAAAAATATTTATATTCAAAGTATTTTCACTTATAGTATACATGCCAATTCAGCAGGTTTTCACCAAACTTTAACATTTTATCAGTACCTATTTATCCCAAATATTTCTAATTAATCTCTCTACACCCTGAAGGATCATTGAATCATGGTGTGTAAAAAAATGTGCATTTCTAGAAATATAAAATGGTACAAATCCTCTGGAGAAAAATTTGGTAGTATCTAGCAAAATGACAAACTCACTAACCCTGATCTAGCATGTCACTCTTTATTCCAAAGATAAACTGCCACTTGATTAGGAAAAGCTAACATGCCTAAGGCTAGCAGCATTACTGGCAAAAACAAAAGACTGACTTCATGAACTAGGGTACACCCTCATAATAAAGCACTACATAGTTATAAAAAGAAATTAATAATATCTACATACCACTATGAAGCAAGCTTTGAGAATACACTGGTAAATTAAAAAGCGAAACAAACAATTATATAGCAAACTACCTTTTATTCAGGAAAGTAGAACAAGATTACAACTTATGTGTAGAAAACATGCATATGTATTTTTACATATCTTATAGAAGTGGAAGAATAATTCTAAAACTAATAAAAACAGCTACCTACAGGAGGAGCAAGAGAAATGCAT